ATTTTATTTTATTTTATTTTATTTTATTTTATTTTATTTTATTTTATGTGTTTGGATGTTTTAGAGGAAAACCAGACCACTGGGCATAGCAGGATGGAATTTATCATTATGGTGACTGAAGGTTGTCCTTTTTCCTATACTCCTTTGACCTCCATGTGTTCTTTTGCCCTCCTTCCTAGGGAATACTGAATCCAGCCCAAGGACTTCTCTTGTCTCTGGCTTTCTATGGCTGGACAGGATGCAACCTGGATGTTCACCCTCCCAACATGGTGATTCAATGGGAAGCAATGACTGTCTCTGCTATTGAGGGCACATACCAGTCACCTGTAGGCTCCTGTGTACCCCATGAAAACACCAGGAAAGTGATGTGTGTTGGGGGACACACTTCTGATGAAGTGCTGAGCATTTTGTCTGAAGGTAATGTCCTGTTGCAAGGGAGGTGAACTGCAGAGCCCCAGAGCTCCCTGCAAGTCCTTCATTAAGCAGGGTGGTACAAATGGGGACCTACATGTCACTATGCTCTAGTATTTCTTCTTCCACTTTTTTTATTTTTTATTTATGTTTCCCATCTTTTAGAAATCTAGTTCATTTGATGTACATGGTTGTTTTGCCTGTATGTATGTCTGTACCCTACATTCATACCTGGTGCTCATGGAAGCCAAGAGGTGGAGTCAGATCCCTCTGGAGCTGGAGTTACAGGTATTGTAAGCTGCCATGCAGGTGCTGGGAATTGAACACAACTCTGCTAGAACAGCCAGTGTTTTAACCGCTAAGCCAGTTCTCCAGTCCCTCACCTATTTTTTTTTTAAGATTTATTTATTTATTATGCATACAGTGTTCAGCCTGCTTGTCCACCTGCAGGCCAAGAGAGGACACCATATTTCATTACAGATGGTTGTGAACCACCATGTGGTTGCTGGGAATTGAACTTAGGACCTCTGGAAGAACAGCCAGTGCTCTTAACCTCTGAGCCATCTCTCCAGCCCCCCTCACTTATTTTTAAGACAGAGTCTCACTATAAAACAAAAGCTAGCCTCTAATATTCAATCATCTTGCTTCAGCTGTTTGAATGGTGGTATTACAGAAATATAACACCATATACATCTAATTGATTGCTATAATTTTCTGGCAGTCCAAAGAGAAAGGTTTAAAAACACTCGGGGTCTTAGTTCCCAGTACCCATATTGGTGACCTACTATTACCTATAACTCCAGCTCCAGGGGATCTGATGCCCTCTTCTAGTCTGGATGGTCACCTGAACAGACATATACTCATACATACTCATAAATAAAAATAAATCTAAATAACAAGCCTACACAGGGATATCAGAACAACATTTGCCCCATCCTCAGCTGGCTCATAGAGAATGGGTAGAAACATCTGGGTTTGTTGCTGAACTCTCATTTCCAGAGCAGCACCCTTTATCCTTGGCTAGCTGCTTCTACATTCTGCAGGCTGTGTTATGTATGCACTCCAGAGTTATCAGCCTCTCTGATCACAGCTCACTAGAGTTTAACAATCAAAACTCTTTATACATCAGCAAAGGTCTTTTGTGGGCATAGTGTCCCCCAGGGTCAGAAAAAAATGTCTCTCTTGCAAAAACTTAAAGAAACTTGCATTTTTGCACATGTTATCCGGGATGCATACACCCCCATCTACACACAAGAGACACACACAGACACATATACACACAATGAAAGACAAAACACAGTCCCACCAAACTGCTTTGATTTATACCAAGCTAGAGGGAGGTCCATTTAGAGAAAAGATGTGTGGAATTTCCTAGGGAAGTTCTATCTTCTTTTGCTTTCCTGCTATTTAAATACATGGCTGAGAAAATATGTAGATAAATCAATGACTGATGCCCTGAGGTGATATTGTGTGGTTGTATTGGGGAACTGTAGAGGAAACAAGGAAACCGTTCTGGCTGAACTTGCAAGAAAGAAAAACTGTGTTTAGGGAATTTCTTTCCCTTTTCCTAGCTGTGCTGGAATGGAACCCAGGGTCTCATCCAAGCTATTACTGCAACAACAGACATACCGCAGCCTTTAGGCTTCTGATGTAGCTCCAGTAGTTCATGAAGGAAAGGGACATACAAATTCAGACTGCTGTCAACATGCCAAGTTACTGATACCACCTGGGGCAGGAGGCAAAATGTTGCATTTAGAATTAATTGTGTGTGTTCGAATTCCCATCCTGGTGGCTTAAAAGGGCTGAGCCGTTTTTCACACTATAATAAAATTCTACAACAACAATAAACCTCACTACATCTGGTCCCTGCACCCTACTTCCCTCACCTCAAAAAGCATTAATCAGATCTCAGTTGTTTCTTTTTTTTTTTTTTTTTTTTTCAGCTAGCTGTTTCCTAGGAGTGTTGTTCATAGGCTGAAAGCTTTCTTCCAAAATGAAAAAAAGTCTTTAAAAATGAAAAAAGGTCCAACAGGAAAATACACAGGGCCACTGTTCATAATGGCTGCTGCCTTAAGGAGCCCATTTTTGCTGATCTTTTTTTTTTTTCCTTTTACAAATGGAACCTGATATGTTACTAATGCTAGGGTATTGTTACAAAATAGATCTACACCTCCAAGTCCTAACTCAAGACCTTTCAAAGCACAGGAAGAGGTTCTGGCATATTAAGGAAGATCTGGGACCCTTCTACAGTCACAAAAAAAGAGAATCCACAGTGATATATAATCCAAATACCATAGAATTTATCCGTTTATCCTTTAAACAGTTTGGTGCAGTTTGTTATATTCATGAAGTTGTGCCATCATTGCCACTGTCTAAATCCAGAATATTCTTATCACTTGGAGGCTATGAACACTCCCTATTCTTTTGTTGTTGTTGTCTAGAGCTTTATGTCCCTTAGGCAAGCATTTTACCAACTGAGCTATATTTTCAGCCTTCTCCATTCCTGGCAACCACAAATTTTTCTGCACATTCCCTATAAATCACATTATATAGTATTTGTCCTTTTGTGTCTGACTTCTTAGCTTAATTTTTTTGAAGGTTCGTCAGCACACGGTTCTTTTTTATAGCTGAGTAATATTTCATAGTATGGAAATACTCATACTGTGATTTTTTTTTAAAGCAACTACTGTTGACTGTAAAGAACTCCACCAGGGCCAGGGATTACAGGCGTGTACCCCTGCATACCTTGGAGAGGCAGAGGTCGGTGGAGCTTTGTGAGTTCAAGGTCACTCTTGTCTACAAAGTAAGTCCAGGACAGCCAAAGATACACAGAAAAATTCTGCCTCAAAAAACTAAAACAACAACAAAAAAGAACTCCATCAGGCCCTGTATTAGGAGCTTTGTCATGGGTTTGTAGCAGGGACTATAAACTCTGCTCTCATGGTTTATTGTACAAGTTCAAAACAGTTAAAATTATTCTATTTAATTAATAGAAAAACGATAGAAAATATTGATTTGTTTTGTTTTTTCGAGATAGGGTCTCTGTGTGTGCAGTCCTGGCTATCCTGGAACTCATTCTGTAGACTAGGCTTGCCTCAAACTCACAGAGCCTGGACACTGCTTCTGAAGAACTGGGATTAAGGTCATGCACCATCATTGACTGGCAAAAAAAAAAAAAAAAAAAATGGAGGAAAAGTAAAGCAAATGAGAACCTTTCTAAAAGAAAAAAAGAATTTCTGTAAAAATAGCAGTTATTAGGATGGAGGTATAGTTCAGTAATAGAGCACTTGTCTAGCATGTACAAGGTCCTGGGTTCTACCCCCAGCACTGTAAATATACAGAAGAAAACAACAGACCCTGTCCAATTAATTTATTAATTAAAAGAAAATGGGGAAAGGCAGCTGTCAGTTTAGAATCCACAGTGAAGTATTGTTTGTTTATCTGCTGGGTTAGGGTTGTTTTTAGAAGCTTTCTTCAAACACAGACTAAGTTGGAAAAATTAACCAAAAGCATTGCCTGTGAAAGTATAAAGTGGGGGTCTGGTGAAGGTATTAAGTTTACACTTCCTTACCTTGAAAATAGCAAAATTAAAATGACTCATAAGGGTTGGAGAGATGGTTCAGAGGTTAAAAGCACTGGCTACTCTTGCAGGGGACCCAATTTCCGTTCCTAGCACCCACATGGCAGCTCACAGTTGCTTGTAACTCCAGTTCCAATTGATCTGATGCCCTCTTCTGGCCTCTATGGGCACAGGTCTGTACACATAGGCAAGCAAAAGACTCATACACATTAACTAAAGAAACCTTTAAAATGACTTCTAAGGTAAAGTTACTACCATTTTGTATGGTGGCTCTGTGCAGGAATTTGCATACATAGATCTGCAAAGAACAAAGAGCGCTGTTGTGCAGAAATTAAATCACATAAGTGTTTTGCTTCTTAGAATGCTAGAGTGCATTAAAAAATGTTCACATCTCTTTTGGTTCATACTGTTTTAAATGGTCTAGTGATATTTTAGTTACTTATCTGTGCAGTAACAAAAACTCAGAGGAAAGAAACTTTTAAGAGGAAAGATTTAGCTGGGTGTGGTGATGCATGCATTTACTAGCACTCAGTGGGGGGTGGTAGTGGTGGTAGTAGTAGAGGGGACAGAGGCAGGTGGATCTTTATATATTTGAGGCCAGCCTGGTGTACAATGAGAGTTCCAGGACAGCCAGAGATATTGCACAGAAAACCCCCTTTTTTTTCTAACAAACAAACAACAAAAAAAAGAAACAAGCAAAAAAGAGGTTAGCAAAGCATCTCTCAATTTTCTCATGACCTGCTGGCCGGTGGTAATGCATGCCTTTAATCCCAGCACTCAGGAGGCAGAGGCGGATAGATCTCTGGTCTCCAGAGTGAGAAAAAAGTGTATATCTATCTAATAAAATATTATTCCATCATAAAAAGAACTGTGTTCACCATTGCTTGGTTCTATTACTCCTGGCCACAGATGGTGCAGAACATCATTGCTGGGAATTAGTTGGTTGATATCATTATGTCTTGTTTACCTAATATCAATAGACTGCATGAATAAGGAACTAACCAATAGCCTAGCAGCCATGCTGAACTGTCTCCAGAGTCTTGCTCTGCTCTGTCAATACTTTCTCTTCATGGAGTCCACCGATAAGACAGAAAAAAAGCCCAAGGCTACCCAGGCTTGCTAGACTCCACTCTACCCTTGTCTGACTTAGGACAAGGACGCTAAGCTCAGGTGTCTTTATTTCTGAAGCGTTGGCTTTGAGAGTCCTTAGGCATCACTGTTCTCCATAGAGATGGGGGTAGGGAATGAAAGGCCAGACACTTTACAAAATCATGTGACTCTGAGTTTGTCCTCAAGGGTGAGGTCATGGGGAAGTATTCTCAGCAAAGACCTTGATCACAAGTCATTTTATAATACCAGATGGATCATTTTTAACAAAACTACAAATATCCCTCATAAGTTCTCATGCACCCAAGATGAGTTCATAAACAGGGTGACCCTGTGAGAACAAAATGTTTTTCAAATGCCTTCAGCCAGCCTCTCTTACAGCGGTGCTTTTCTGGAAGCTTTTAAAAGCCTTCCCAGCTAGTATCTGGCCACTCTAGCCAGATGGTTGCTCTCCATTACCCTTGATGGCACCCACACTCAAATCAGAGCCTGGCTATATAGAGCCTATGGCCGAACATCATTCTTTTGTTCCCTTCTCTAGATTCCCTGAGGGGATCACATTTGCTTTGTCTTCACCACTCTTGTGTCATCTCAGATTTATCTGCTCTGCCCCTGGGGAAGGTCTGGCTGCTGCTTCCTCAAAAGGCCACAGTGGGTGACCCCTGTGCATTAGAGTAATCTTTCGTTATGATGCTTGCCTCTGTTCAAACTGTTACTCTTTCTCCCTTCGTTAGGTCATCAGTCTTAATGCTGCTCCAGCTTCCAAAGGCACATTTCATTGCTGTTGAGGCATTGACCTCAACTATATCCACTCAATACATTTATTGAGTACTCCATTCTAGTGGAAGAAAGAAAATGACTATAGGAAGTCCACAGTAATTATGTAGTATGATATGCAAGTAGTGAGAAATACTATGAACCAAAACTGTTTAGGGTGCAAGGGGTATAACTAAAATGCAAAGAGCTTGCTTAACATGTACAAGATTCTGAGTTCAATAACTGATGTGTTAAGAATGGGTACCACTAAAAACAGAGAGGTGTGGCGCTCATTTTTTGATAGGGTATCCCAGAAGTTTCTGGATGGATGAAGTAACATCATGAATTGAGACTGAAATAAAACATAGAAGAGAGGGTCATGAGAAAAACAAAACAAAACAAAACATTTTTTTCTGGTTTTTTTTTTTTTTTCAAGACAGGGTTTTTTCTGTGTAGTCTTGGCTATCCTGGAACTCACTCTGTAGACGAGAGATCTATCTGCCTCTGCCTCCTGAGTGCTGGGATTAAAGGCATGCATCACCACCAGCCAGCAGGTCATGAGAAAATTGAGAGATGCTTTACAAGCAGAAAAAAAAAGCTGTGGAATTGCTTTTGGCAGGACCATACCTTTAGAAGGGGAGGAGGGAGAGGTAGACCAGTATGCCTGAGGGATGATAGGAGTGATAGCAGAGGCTGCAGAAGTAAGCAAGATCCACTGGTGGGGCTTAGAGACTGTTTGCACATGCATACTGGGAAAGCCCCCTTTGATTCATGACTTCTGTCTTTGAATTCTCCATATCCAGTTTCTACCTTGGCTCAGAGCCAGGGCTCCTGGGTATTTTGGGAGCAAAGGAATAAGTCTACTGTTTGTTCCAAAGAATTTTGCTACCCGGAAGGAAGGAGTGCTGGTCTAATGATTAAGTAGACCTGCAGGGTGACCCTTGATGAGAATGTTTTATTTTTATCTTGTTTATTGAGCTTACTTTCCCACCCTTTTTACTGTGTTGTGACTGCTGTCTGTAAGTCATGTCATATTCTAAAACAAAGGGAAAATTGATTAGTAAGGAAATAGAACAGGACTAGAGAACAATGATGAGATCCAAGGAAAGCCAGGTGAAATGAACCTCACGAGGGTACTAAAATGTGTGACTACTTTGTTTTTGAGCTTCCTTGCTGGAAACTAAAGAGAGAATGTGATGTTACAAAATTAGTTATTCTGAAGAAAAATTAGCAATGGCTTTTAGAAGCAAAACATGGCTGGCTCTCTCTCATGCTCACACAGGTTCCAGACATCAAGGCCAGAGAGAAAGGTCTTCTTCAGCTTCTCATGAAATGAACACCAAATAACTTAGAGATTACTTGGATGTGTGCACTATGTCATCATATGAGAAACATCTTTTGTCACTCAGTCATTGTATCTAGAGCCTCAATTTATGATCATAAAAACAAAACTGGCTTGGCAAAGCATCATTAGGCATGTGCTGTTGTAGGTTGGATCTTGATATGTGTTTAAATTACAGCCTTTGAAAGATGGAGAGATTGTTTTCGGTGCTTCCAGGTGCTGAAGGACAGGAGTTGCAAGATGAAAGCTGGTGGCACTGTGTGTGAGGACAAGAGGGAGTTTTACAGAGAACATAGATTCCTTTTTTGGGGGCTTCCTGGAGCTGAGTGCAGGTAGCCAGGCAGTTGTGACTGTGTATGTCACAACTTCCCATGGATGGACTCTTTATTGTTTGTTAATCCCACATAACACATTCAGGGCTCCAGGGTCACATTAATTAAACTCACATTTCCTCTGGAACCATGTGTCAATTGCCTGAAATATTTCTGTAGGGTTCGTTCCATTTTTCCTTTTTTTCTGAATGAATAGATTTAAATGTAGTAAGGGATGATGTAGAGGGGTTTTTTCCTCCTTTTTAAAATGCATACACACAGGCAACATTCATGTCATCTCTCTCTCTCTCGCTCTATCTATCTATCTATCTATCTATCTATCTATCTATCTATCTATCTGAGACAGGGTTTCTCTTTGTAGTCTTAGCTGTCCTAGAATTCACTCTGTAGAAGAGGCTGGCCTCAAACTCACAGAGATCTTCCTGTCTCTGCTTCCCAATTGCTGGGATTAAAGGGATCGGTCACCACCACACAACTTTGATGTCGATTATTTTTTTGAGACAGGGTTTTTCTTTTTTTATTTTTTGCTAATTACAGTTTATCCACCTTGTATCCCAACTATAGCCCCCTCCCTCGGCTCCTCCCAATCCCAACCTCCTCCCTATTGTCCACCCATGCCCCTCCCCCAGTCCACTGACAGGGGAGGTCCTCTCCCCTTTCATCTGATCTTAGTCTATCAGGAGACAGGGTTTTTCTATGTAGTACTAGATGTCCTGGAATTTGCTATGTATACCTGGCTGGCCTCAAACTCACAGACACTTGCCTGCCTCTGCCTCCCTTAAACTGGGATTAAAGGCATGTACCGTTACAGCCAGCCTTAGATGCTAAGATTTGACTAAGAACCTTCCATCCTTCCTTTCTTCTCTCTTTCCTTTCTTTCTAGAAAAAGAAAGAAAAAATTTCATTTTGTTCTAGTACTAGCAGCATTTTGTGAAGTTGAAGGAAGGACTTCTATGGGCTGGCAACTTTGCTCAGTTATTACAGAGCTTGGCTAGCTAGCATGTTGTCCTATGTTCAGTCCCCAGCACTATATACAATGAACATAATGGTGCATATCTATTATTCTTGCACTTTGGAGGGGGAAGCAGGAGGATTAGAAGTTCAAGGTCATTCTTGATTGTATATTAAGTTTAAGGCAAGCCTCATCGACACATGACCCTGTACCAACAAAACAATAGAAAGACTTCTAAAACCTCAGTACCAACACAGCCTCCTCTTTTCCTCTCCAGGTTCTGATGCCAGCACTGTCGATATCCATAGTGCAACTGGGTCCTGCACCATAAAGGAAGTTGACTCAATTTCCCAAGTCCAGGGGGACCTCTGAAGGGATGGGATAGGAGTCACACACCCTTATTTTTCAGGCTCTGTCTCTTCATTTCGGATTGTGTTCTTGCCTTTCTTCCTATTACAGTGTCACCATAACGTAGCATCCTCCAAATTCCACTATGGTCACCATAGTGGAGCTCACTGAAGATGCACTTTATGCTAGGAGAAACAACACACCAGAGCTTGGAAATGGAAACTTCCTTCTAGAACATTCAGTGGCACCTCTTGACTCTTACTTACCATTTGAACTTTTTCTGAGACCAGCTGTAATGTTACATGCCAGATCCAAGTTCTTAAGAAAAAAGTTAAATAAAGTCATTGTGTCTAACTCCATTTTGAAGTGGATTCTGTCTAAATAACCTCGACCCAGTGGTCTTCTGGAAGGTTTGGATGGTGCAGGAGACAGACAAGTCCAACCGGATGGACTGGGAGTGGAGCACTGGGAGGTATGAAACAAGTCATTCTCTAGTCCCAGTAGGGCGGGGGTACATCATATCTTTAACAGAGCTGTCTCTCCAGTTTTGTGTCGAGTAGTGACATAGCCTAAGAACTCCCTAGAGCTATGATGTTCACCTTTCCCTCAGTTAAGATGACACATGTAGCTGGGCACAATAATTCATGCATTAACACCAACACTAGAAAAGTTGAGATAGGAGTATTGCCTTGAGTTTACAGACTGCCTGAGCTACCTAGGCAGTTTAAGGCCAGCCAAGGCTACTAAGACCTCATCTCAAAAATATCAAATCAAATTTAAACAAAACAAAACAACAAAAACAAGAGGGAAAAATATAATCATCTATCTGGAAAAGAAAAATCTAACCATCTATCTATATGTATGTATGCTTATAACATGCACTCACAAAAATACACATGATTTCTCTTTTGTTCTTTGCAGAAATGTTGCAGCATGCACTAGGGTTATAAGCCATTGTAGTGTGTGTGTGTGTGTGTGTGTATATATATATATATATATATATATATATATATATATATATATATATATATATATATATATATATATA